GTCCCAGAGCGAGTCTAGGTCACCCCAACCCTTGTGCCAGCTGCCTGGAATCTGTTGGGTAAAACAGGACCTAGTCTCCGAAATCGGAAAAATCAGCGCGGGTCCTCACCGGGAGGAGTCGTAGGGACATTGACACCGCTTCACCCTCCACCAGCAATCAGGCCCGCTGTCCCCTCCTCCCCTGGCGCCCTTTGCCACCCGCAGGATTCTCCTCTCAGCTCACCCGGTCCTACAGGATCGGGTAGGCGGAGCGAGGCTGCTGTGACGTCACGAGCGGGGGGCGTGGGGAAGTGTGCCCAGGGGCTGCCACCCTCCTGGGCCAATGCTAGCTGTGCAGCCACCGGCGCGCTCCCGAGGCCACCAGCCTCCGGAGCACCAGTCCGCTGCTCAGTATCAATGATCTGCAGGCCAGGCTAGCTCTCTAGGGACCCAGGCTAGCTCTCTCAGATGCCAAAAGGGCCCGCACCAGCCAGCCAAGGAAGCTGAGAGCCCAGGAGCCGAGCTACGGCACTCACCGGCGCCCGACTGGGTAAAAGGACAGCTTCTGGATACTGGAGAACCCAGAGAACCGAGTGCTCGTGGAAGGCAAGGTGAGGGTGTGTGTGGTGCATATGTGTGTGTCACAGAGAGATGGAGGGAGTGACAAGCGCACTTGGGCACCTGCGTGCTTATGCGCTGGGATAGATAGAGCGCTGAGCCCAGAGACCTGCACGTTGGTCCCGGAGCGCAGTTCTCGGCTTTTGTGCCTTTGGAGGTGACAGGTGGAAATGATGTGTGCGTATCCTGGCATCAGGGATGAAAAGGTAGTATGTTCCAGGACAGATCTGTCTGCACAGCCACTGCCCAGGTACGGTGGCGTGTGACCTGCGAGCCCGAGTGTCCAGGTGGTAGCTGTCTGTGATGGGGACAACTTATGTCCTAACCACCTGCGAAACAGCCCTGGTCCGAGGAAAGTGAGACCAGATAGAGGAGAAGAGACATGCCAGGTGCCACCACAGGGCTCCTGAATCCAGACCCTGAGACCTAAGTTAGGGAGGGACAGGTGATGGGAACATCGCAGAGAAGGAAAGCGGGTTTTTCCGTTGGCTTTTTTTTTTTTTTTTTTTTTTTTTCATCACCCGATGGGGAGGCGGACCAGAATCATATGCGGTCAGGTTCCTCCTACACCCCCGCCGCCCTCGGGCAGAGACATCTGTCTAGATTGGAGAGAACCAACGACTGAACGGTCAAGTCCCCAAGCCACTGTCTGCGCTCCTAGCTGTCTCTAGCACCTCAGTCCCCTCTGTGTATGGGAGCTGGGTGTGCAGACACCACCGGTCCACTCTCCCTTCTCCCTTCGTTTTCCTGGAAATGGTGGGAAATCTTTTGGGAACACTTTGTTTCCAGGGTCAGCGAGTTGATGGCCCCAAATATCCTACCCCCCCCCGCCCTCCCCGCTCTGCACTAACTCTGCGGTCCTGAGGCTCGCTTATCCACCCCCACCCACTCGGCCACTGCAGAGGGACACTCTAGCACCTTGGTGAACCACACAGGGCTGCAGTCTATGTTGGTATCAGCTCGGTCTCCAGACCCAGATTCTTGTAGTGAGGTGGGGGGTGGGCATCTAGCAGGCTTAGGGGAAGGGAGTCTTAAGGGCTCACAATAGAAGGATGTTGAGAAGTCAGTGGAATTAAAGCTGAGTGGGACCCCGATCATCCCCATCTCTGATTTTGTGGGCTAGCGAGCACACAGAAACAAGAGAGGATTCCTGAGAGTGGAAGTCCTTCTTCTCTCCAACAGAGCCAGGACTTTCTCTCTGAGGGGAAACCACCCATCATGCCACGCCAGTATTTACCACAGCCCTGACATTGAAAAAAAAAAAAAAAAAAAAAACAAAGCAGAAAATCAGACTTCTTGGTGCATTTAATTGAGCCACAATTCAACAAGTATGGACTGGTGGCATTTAAAATTCTCTTTCGGTAAGACAAATGTAAAATGAGAAGCAGTCACTAGGCACCTGGCTCCCTCAGTTTTAAGCTCATGTCTTCCTTGGAGGAGTCTCCCCTGTCCCATGGGGTTTTCCATGGTAGGACATCCACCCGCCTTCCGAGGCTCTGAATGCCCTGTGTGGCTTAACCTTCCCAAAGAGGAGGTGTGTCTCAGCCAATTCTCGAGAGAAGTGACCCCCCCCCCGAAATTCTTTCTGCACAAAGGGCACAGTTAGAGCTAAAGAACCACACTGGGCTCATACCATCACTCCTCTCTGCTTCCTCCTCTTCTTCCTCCTCCTCCTTTCTTGGCTCTAGACAGGGATTCTACAGCCCTCTCATGGTACATAGACGGCACAAGCTAATGGCAGGTCCCACTGCATGCAGCTTGAATAGGATTCTAGGTCTGTAGAAATAAGTGACTGACAAGATGGTGAAGGGGGGGGGAACAGTAGAAATAACAAGTTAATCTGGGGATACAAAACCAGTTCCTTTACAGTTTCTGGTTGTAATAGCTGCCTGATTATATGCTTGCTAACCCAATGCAGACACGGAACAGTGGGTCCCCAAAATTCAAATGCAAAATCCCAGACCTCACTGTACCAAACATGCTGGGGAAATTAATGCAGAAAGAAGTGCCAGGCACCTGGCAGTACAGAATGAATCAGAGGCAGGGATGGACAAGGAGCACCGGCCTGTGGCTGGCTACATCTGTCAGTTCTCTGCCATCTCTACCAGCCTTGGGCAACTCCCATGGAAAAGCACTGTGCTTAGGGGCAGTGTGTCAAGCAAGTGAACTTGGTGCTGTACATTCCTACCCTTGACCAGCTGCCCTCTTCCTGGATGGACCCCTACCCTGAGCTCTCACATCACTTTCCCTATACATAAGACCCAGCCCCCAAACTCCTGAGAACACCCCCTCCCATACACACACCCAGGGGAGGGCTGTTCTAACACCCTTTGTTCATAGCTTCATCTCCATGCAGTTCACACACAATATGACTTGACTCCCTGGCCTGTCTCCCCTTATTGAAGTATTAGTTGCTAGAGGGCTCCCTCACAGTGGCTTCCCCCCTCCCCCATCCAGTGATGTTTTATAACTGTGCTAAATCACTTAATTATGGGCGGACCTGGTGTTTCACATCTTGGGCCAAGCCAATAGCATTCTCATTATCTTCTCAGCATGGAGGTCACTCAAGAGTCAGATGATTTAAACTAAGCCCAAGTACCAGCCAGCCACCAGGTTCCGTTCACGGAGCATCGGCTGGGACATGGTAAAAATCATGGAAGACTTAGGACCAGGTGGCTCATGTTCAAGGACCACTGCAGAAGGGTTTTAACTCTCTAAGCCTCAGCTTCCACATCTTTAAGTGAGAAAGGACAGTATCCTCAACTCCCACATGGTTAAGGAGATGAAGGGGTCAACAGGTGTGGATGAACGCCAGCAGTTTTTAAAAGCCTCTTTCGACAATCATAGAGAGCCTGCATCCATCACCTAGCTTCTGCTTTTGCCCTAATCTGTGAACTGCAGGGAAAGGCCACCCACGCTGGGGGATGGGGGGAGGAGGATAGCAGTTAGGAAGGGTTTTCCTAATCAGAAGTCAGGTAGGGAATGGAGGGTACTGAGTATTGGAGGGCATAAAAGCCAAGAAGAAAAACAGCCTAAAGCATACATTTGAAAAGAGAAAGAAAGCCAGACTCTTTCTTTTAATATTGAAGACTCTAACTTGATTCACTGCGTAAGCAGGTTTCAGTAAATTAGAGATAATGAAACAGTGGGGGTGGGTCATCTATGAGGCTCTGCTATGAGCCTCACAATGCTAGGCATTCGCATGTACCTTCATGATACTACCACCCCCCACCACCACCACCCTGCCGCCACCGTGTTGACAAAGGAGAGTCCCAGCAATTAAGGGCTGGGCATGAGATCATGCGGGCTCAACCATGGAGCCCAGATTTGTTCTTCCTTCAAATTCTTGGGTTTTCCCACCATAGGAGTCTCTGAATGGAAACTCTCCCAAGCAGACATCAATCCAGCATGGAACTCCTCATGGGGCTCAAAGTGCTGGTGTCGGACCTTTCCAGGGCTGAAACCCTCCAAGATCTGCCTTTTTATAGTTCTGGACCAGTCAATTCCTTAGGGGTCAAAGTCTGTGTTTGAAGCCATAGCCATCAGCCATACGTGCGTCATCAAAGATGATGGTTTAACTCAAACCCTTCCCCCACCATTTCAAAAATACCTCAAAAAATCTGCAGGCTGACAGCCAGATTTGAAGAAAGAAAGAAAGAGAGAAAGAAAGGAAGGAAGGAAGGAAGGAAGGAAGGAAGGAAGAAAGAAAGAAAGAAAGAAAGAAAGGAAGGAAGGAAGGAAGGAAGGAAGGAAGAAAGAAAAAGAAAACTTGCTTTACAGTTGAAAAATACTTCTAAGAGAGCCAGGCATAGTAGCTCACACCTGTAACCCCAGGCACAGGAGGCTGAGGCGTGGGGAGTACTGTGAATGCAAAGCCAGCCTCTGTAACAGAGTGAGTTCCAAGCTAACCTGTCTCCGAAACAGGATCGGGGAGGAAGGAGGGAGGGAGACTGGAGAGATGGCTCAGTCAATAAAGCACTTAACTTGCAAGCAAGAGGATCTGAGTTGACCCCCCAGAACCCCTGTGAAAACTGCTGGGTAGGTGCGGTGACATGTCTGTCACAGCAGGGGTAGGACAGACACAGGTAGATCCCTGCAGCACAGTGAACAGCTAGCCTAGGCTACCTAGAAATCCTGACTCACAAAGCGGTGGGATACTTAGCCTACCTAACAACAGCTGGGGCTAGTTTCTGACCCCCACACACACACACATACATACATACGCACAGCGGCACACATGAATATACAAAAGAAAGAGAAAGAGAGAGCGGTAGGAAAATGTCTAAATACGTAGATAAACCAGAATCAAGGAATCCAGAAGGAGTCTAAATGGCTTGGAACTGATGGTTACTTTTCTTTTTCTCTTCCCAGATGTCACCGTAGATTCTTGCCCCCCCCCCCAAGAGCCCACTGAGGTGAGAGGAAGAACTCTTGAGCTGCTTGGTTCTAATCTGACAGAAAAGCAGCCATGGAGATGGTATCTGAGCAATTCAATGGGAGCCAAATATGGATGCCCTCTCCGTTTGACGTCAATGGCTCAGTGGGGCCAAGCAATGGCTCCAACCAGACTGAGCCATACTATGACATGACAAGCAATGCAGTCCTCACGTTCATCTACTTCGTGGTGTGCGTTGTCGGGCTGTGCGGCAATACGCTTGTCATCTATGTCGTCCTCCGCTATGCCAAGATGAAAACCATCACCAACATTTACATCCTCAACCTGGCCATTGCAGACGAACTCTTCATGCTGGGGCTGCCCTTCCTGGCCATGCAGGTGGCACTGGTCCACTGGCCTTTTGGCAAGGCCATCTGCAGGGTAGTCATGACTGTAGACGGCATCAATCAGTTCACCAGCATCTTCTGCTTGACCGTCATGAGCATCGACCGTTACCTAGCCGTGGTCCACCCTATCAAGTCAGCCAAGTGGAGGCGACCTCGGACAGCCAAGATGATCAATGTGGCCGTGTGGGGCGTCTCTCTGCTGGTCATTTTGCCTATCATGATATATGCTGGCCTACGGAGCAACCAGTGGGGGAGGAGCAGCTGTACCATCAACTGGCCAGGTGAATCTGGGGCGTGGTACACAGGGTTCATTATCTATGCCTTCATCCTGGGTTTCCTGGTGCCCCTCACCATCATTTGTCTTTGCTACCTGTTTATCATCATCAAGGTGAAGTCCTCTGGAATCCGAGTGGGATCATCCAAGAGGAAAAAGTCAGAGAAAAAAGTCACCCGAATGGTGTCCATAGTGGTGGCTGTCTTCATCTTCTGCTGGTTGCCTTTCTACGTCTTCAATGTCTCTTCCGTGTCCGTGGCCATCAGTCCCACCCCGGCCTTGAAAGGCATGTTTGACTTTGTGGTGATCCTCACCTACGCCAACAGCTGCGCTAACCCCATCCTGTACGCCTTCTTATCTGACAACTTCAAGAAGAGCTTCCAGAATGTTCTCTGCTTGGTCAAGGTGAGTGGTACAGATGATGGGGAACGGAGCGACAGTAAGCAGGACAAATCCCGGCTGAATGAGACCACGGAGACCCAGAGGACCCTCCTCAACGGAGACCTCCAAACCAGTATCTGAGATACCTGGAAACATGACACGCGGGCGCGTGCACACACGCATGCACAAGCCAAGCCTGCCTCTTGGCAGCGCACTTCCCACCCACCCGCTTCCTGCCACCCCAACCATCATAGCTGGCTTGTTCTACATGAGCCCAGTTCAGGGGACAGGATTTGAGTCTGCTTGTCAGAGAGTAGAGTCACTGATTATGTCTCCCTTAAAGTGAACGTTTTCGTGCAGGCAGACAATTCAAAGCCTGGAGAAGAGGACATCATTGCCTGGGTGTGACGTTGAGGAAAGCAGCTGCCCAGGAGAAATCGAAACAAACAAAAAAACAAACAAAAAAAACACAAAAAAAAAAAAACACAAAAAACTAAACCAAAACCCCGTGTATGTGTGCCTGTACACTATGTAATCTCGTGATCTGATATTTACATTTGTATATTCCTACCTAGTCTCTTTGGAGCCAGTACATACACGCCCTGTGTTTGTACACTGAAGTAGCTAGTTCATGTGTGTCTAGTGTAGGTGAACATTTCCCGCAACCCCGAACCTGAAGAAGTGGGCCCGCCATGACAAAAACCAATCTGAATTTGAGCTTCCAGCATCGCATCTGCCTTGCGTGGGCCTTTCCTGGACCCAGGAGGAGCATGAGCGGTACGTTCATATGACGGTATGTTTTGTTTTGTTTAAAAAAAAAAAAAAAAAAAGGGAAAAGAGGTAAAAGGAAGGTATTTTTGTCTTCTTCTTCCTAGAGAGCCCCTAAACTATATAAGTTTCTCACCTCACAGGAGCTGCCCCTGAACCTGGACAGTTGTTTTCCTCAATTTCAAGTGAGTTAGGTCAGAGTGAAATACAGGGAAACAAACTGTGAGAGTCAGAATATGAACACGAGTTTGCCTCTCAGATACAATCGGTTACTCATTTACCCACAAGGACTTCAAGGGTTGTGGTCATCGATCATTGTTTATCAAGACAAAGCATGCTTTATTATCAGATTGTATTTTTCTCTCCTCCAATGGCTTTAGTTTTACTTAGGGAGTTATTGGGGGAGGGGTGGGGTCAGTGACCTGAAAGGCAAAATACAGACTATTATTCTTGTGGGCAAACAATTTATTCCCCAACACGCATGTGTGCGCGCGCGCACGCGCACACACACACACACACACACACACACACACACACCAATAATGAGAAGAAGGAAAATGAAGTACAATTATACTTCTAAGAGAAACTATGAAATTGCTTTGTTTTTAGCCAGATTTGTATGTGTGGTGTGTATGTGTGTATTTATGCCCATGTCTGTGTGTGAGTGCGTGTGTATATGTGTGTTTGTGTGTGTGCGCGTGTAGATTAGTGGTTGACATTGCTGTCTCCTCCTACATCACGTTCTACTTTATTTACTAGGCAAGGTCTCTTGCTGAAGGTGAAGTTTCCAGTCAAGGGAGCCAGTTTGCCTAGAGGATCCCATCTCCACCCTGGAGCACTGTTATTACAGATGTGCTGCCTGCCCAGACAACCTTTACATGAGCTCTGGAATCCAGATTCAGGCCTCACACCTGGGCAGCAAGTGGGTTACCCGAATGAGCCATCTCATTGGGGGGGCATGCTTGTCATGGCACATGTGTGGATGTCATGGATAACTCTGGGGAGCTGGTTCTTGCCTTCCACCTCTATGCAGGTCATGGGGACCAAACTCAGGTCACCAGGCTTGCTCAGCAAGCATCTTTACCCACAAAGTCATCTCCATAGCTCTCGGAGATTTTTTTTTTCTTTTCCTTACACAAAGCTGGTCATTAGGAAAAATCACAAAACTCAGGAACAGTGTTTATGACACATTCAATAAACACCAGCTGATGGAGTATATAGGGGTGTGTGTGCAGGGCAAAGGCTGGGAGCCCATCCTTCACAGGGATGGCTATGTCATCTCCTTCATCAGCTGCACATGCATGGAGTGTCATACATGTAATGATATGTCCTCTCCAGGCTACTCCTCACACTGCCACAAGTACAGGTGTGTGGGAGACACTGCACTCTGGGTCCTGGAAGCATTACTCTTAGCATCCTACATGTAGACTTCAAGTGTATTTTAAAATGAGCTTTCTTCTTCTGACTCCCTAAGCAAGGACTATTTAGTGGTCAGAATGGCTAACTACCCTACCTGTGGCTAACCTACCTTAGTGGGCTCTGTTAATGCTCAGGCGACATCGCTCATACCACCTGGCTCTGAAAAACTACTGACTATGGCTTCCAGAGATACATTCAGTGGAATTTATGACGGGCAAATAAATCCACCTGAAAAGAAAAATGCAATCATAGAACAAGACTACAGGGAGAGTTGTTGCAAAAAGACAAACATATACAGAAAAATCCCAGATTCTTACCACAAGTTCAGCTTTAGGCTGGTTTCTTGGCAGCCATAACAGACAGTGAGTCATTGTTTCTTTTTCTTTTTAATACAAATAGGAAAAAATGGAAAGAAACACTATAGAGATAACTTTATCCTTACAATTGACAACCATTTCAGGAAGATTGGTCAGAGTAACTCTATAGTAACTCTATAGTGTTCATGTCCCCATAGCTTGAGAGATTGCCTCCCACAAGGATTTGTTCCCACACAGCCACACAGAACCTCAAGATGGAATGTCTAAGGGGCGTCTGGGGTACTCAGCAACAGGACAGTCATTTGAAGGCAGGAAGAGGGGGATTTTAACACATGGTACAGGGCTGGGAGGTGAATCAGCCAGGAAAAGGCTTGCTTCACACGTTTGAGGACCTGAGTTCAATCCCCTGAACCCACATGAAAAGTCAAGACAGTGCTGTGTGCCTGCAATTCAGCAACGGCGGGATGGGAGGTGGGGAGAGATAGACCTCTGGAAGAGCATTAAACCGACTAGCCTGGCCTACATGGTGAACGTCCAGGCCAAAGAGACCCTGTCTCAAACAAAAAGGAGACGTGCCTAGGGATTGACATTCAAGGCTGTCCTCAGACACACACACACACACACACACACACACACACACACCACACATACATACCCACAACACATATAACACACATACTCAGCACGCATATACACACACAAAACACACATACACACAACACACATACCACACACACATACAAGATCCATGCTTAATTCCATAGAGATAGGCAGTCAGGTCCTTGTTATGGGAATTTATGTCTCAGAGGTTGAAGCACCTATATTTATATTTAATTCAAATTTAAAATATATTGTATTCTTTTATGTGTATGAGTGTTTTGCTTGCATGTATGTCTGTGTACTGTGTATATATCTGATGTTTGTAGAAGTCAGAAGAGGGTACTGAATTCCTTGAGGGTAGAGTTACAGATGGTCATAACTGTGTGTGTAAGAACAGCCAATGATGTCGACCCCTGAGCCATCTCTCTAGCCCCTGAAGCATCTTGTTTTTAAAGATGACTTGTTCCTGCCAGGCAGTGATGGCACAAGCCTTTAATCCCAGCACTTGGGAAGCAGAGGCAGATGGATCTCAATGACTCTGAGGTCAGCCTGGTCTACAAAGGAAGTTCAAAGTTCAAGACTTGGTCTCTGGATTTCTTTTATTCTAAAGAGTAACAAAAAATGTTAACACAATTTTGGCTCACAGAGTCACTCTTAACTTCATCACGAAGTTAAATACTCTGGATGCCGAGGGCAGAACAATTAAAAAGTAATAAATACATCGGGGCCAGAAAGACAGCTCAGCAGTTAGAAGCACTAGCTACTACTGTTCCTACGACCCACGCTCACAATCACCTAGGGACGCCGACTCCATGCATCTGATGCCCTCTTCTGGCTTCTGTGGACACCTGCACGCAGGCAAACACAAACGCACACACGTGAACGTAATTTAAAGTAATAAACTTTTTTAAAAAAAATTAATGTGTCAGATTGACTTTGTAATCCCTGGTGGTCTGGTAAGTTTTGCAAACTACTCCTTGCCTCCTATTAGCAGGGGCTGGGCTGCTAAGGGCAGATTAAATCTAAGGAGATGTAGCCGGAGTCCCGCTGGGCGACACCGCGACACTGGAGCACCAAGTGAGCTTAGCTTCGGTTACAGTACCAGACAGCGGAGCAGTCTTGTTTTGTGTGAGGTTTGCACTTTAGCTTAGAACATACCCGGATGATGTGAGGAGGACAGTGGAGGGCGAAATGACGGGCAGAGGGGACAATGTGGACTGGCGGACAGGCGCCTGTTTGTTAACACGGATTAGACCGCTCCATGGCAGAGCACGAGGCTGCCTGCTGAAGCCTTTGGCCGGGGCTTTTCTAGGGGTGTGCAGGCTGGAAGACAACCCTGGGCTGTGCAGGCGGGAAGAGCCATGCCCCTCCCCAAGCAGCCCCAATGGGGACCGTTCAATGAAGGACAGTGATACTAGAGGAAAGGAAGCTTTCGGCCCTGTTGACAGGAGGAGCCAAGCGGTTGGGGTGTGTGGTCGGAATGTAATTAGGCTTCCTGAGGTGTGCACCCTCTCCGGAAAATCAAGTACTGACAGGCCCAGCGGAGAGCTTAGAAGTGATGACTTGGAATCAATCACTTGTCTCATCCACATTTTTTGCCAGCTTCCAAACACGGAATTCCCTAGCAAATGCTTCCGAAAAGCAAATCTTGACTAAAGAGCTTGTTTTTCCTCTTGTAAATAAATCCTGGGAACAGCCCCATTGGTGGAGTCTGTCTCTCTCTCTCTCTCTCTCTCTCTCTCTCTCTCTCTCTCTCTCTCTCTCTCTCTCTCTCTTCCTGTCTTTCAAGACAGGGTTTCTCTGTGTAACAGTTCTGATGTCCTGGAACTCGCTCTGTAGACCAGGCTGGCCTTGAACTCACAGAGATCCGCCTGCCTCTGCCTCTTGGGTGCTGGGATTAAAGGCATGCGCCACCACTGCCCCCTTTGTTGTTTGTTTTGTTTTGTCTTGTTTTTCTTTTTCTAGCAGCTCATGTAGGTATGGAATTCTACTTACAGAGCACAATCTTTTGTAGCTGTCATTACCTATTCGATTCAGCAATCACTGGGCAAAGAATACTGTCTCAAAAACTTCCCCGTAGCCATTCCAACGCCTTCCCACCCCTTCCTGCACTAAGAGGGGCTGAAGGCTAGTGAGTGAGCTGCTCCCTCTCCTGCAGATGCCTCTGGCTGTTCGCATCTGGCCTATGTCTGAAAACAGGGCTAAATATTAACCAAGCCCTAGCCGAACCCACTGTAAAATGTTATTGATTCTCCTAAGATAGAAGTGAGTGTAATGTCATTAAAATGAAATGCTAGGGTTGGATAGCCTGGTCCAGTGAGCACCGGTGAGGGGAAGCAGGAGGGAGCCAAAGGCACAGGCTCGGCTCT